GCTCTTTTCCTAAAAAGTCTTTTGTCTACCTTTATGTACTATTTTGTAGAGCTGGATTCAACTTAGATTTACTGTATGAAGCGAATCACACATCATTGTTCACTACTGTAGGATTGCGGTAGGAAATTTGAACATGATTTTGAGTCATCAGAGGCGATATTTTAACCTCTGAATAAGAATCGGAGGAGCCGGAAACACCTACACTAGATAAAACAGAGTCGGTGATGTCAAATATGAAATTTACACCTCGCCAGAACGCTTCATTTCTAGGTTATGTCAGATATACCGTAAAAACAGTTTTTCGGTCTTCCTCGGAAATTCAGACACGCCATTCAAAAAGCTCTAAAAACTCGTAAATTTTTGTCTTTCAAAAACAGCGTGCCTAAAGACCTTATTACACTTTTCCAAATTTTTTTGGAAATTTTTTTATAAACAGCCTACCTCACAGGGGTTCCATTTGCTGCGAGTTTCTACCGTAATCCTACAGTAATGGAAAGCTATCGGCGAATCGCTCTATACTGTAAATCTAAGCTGGAGCAGATCTATAAAATGGTACCTGAAGGTTGGCCAAAGACTTTCTGGATAGAGATATATTGACGATCAAACGGTGTATACATATTTTTGGGACACCCTGTATGCTGTGCCAATACTTTCTCTGAATTTTTCACATGCTGAGTTCAATTCATTATGTAACTCATAGGTTTCTGCGCAGTAACCTTTTACGCCTCCTTTCACCAATATCTTTGAAAATTTTACTTAAAAATATGATGTGCCCATTTTTGGCAGTTTTCAAGTGCGACATGGCCCTGCGGCTGAAGGGCCTTTTTGTTCGGCGAAAGTTTACCTTCACCGCATCAATTGAGAAGCAACTCCTATTATTTGGAGATAGACGGTCCATATTTGTTTGAAAATCATTCTTCCTTATCCTTCCTTCCAAGGAGGAGTATTTATCAGCATTGACTAGGTACAATAGTCTTATCGCGGAGAGAATCATAAACCCCATGAAAAATTGGTTTTTTTTAACTACAGCGAGAAGAAGCGCGGGTGATCGCAAATTTATTGAATTCTTGTAGTCTCGGGTAATAGTGCTTCTTTCAAAAAATTTTCTTAATTTCGAAATTCCGGATTGCTTTAGGAATTTGGCTAGGGCATTGAAAATGGGTTAACAGCAAATCTGGGCTGTATTTATTCCAGGCTTCAGCTTCTCTTATAATTATTCAAA